CAATTAACTGAGAACGGTTTTGATTGTAAACGTACTTTCAGGAGAAGGCCAAGGAGACCGATCGATGGTACAAACTTGTGCAKGAGATGAAACTTTTTTTTAACAAATGTCATTTAGTTTAACGTCCTGTCGGTTCATTCCTAGCAGCTGATCAAGCTTCTGAGCAGCCTTTTTTTTTTTTTTAAAGTTTGTTTGCTTTGCTGCTAACATTTGTCAGTCATTTTTTATTTTGTTTTTGTTTGTTTCAAATCTCAGCAGTGTTGCTTTGTTTCCACTACACTACTTTTAATTGCCATTCCACACTGCATGGTGCTCTCACACCKAACTTGGAGGAAAGTCAGATTTCTACCCTTTTGTTTCCTAACAGTATTCTTTTTTATGTTGTGTTTTAAGCAGCCTTGCAAATTAGAACAATCGTGTTTCAGTTGGAGGTGTTTTTTTTTTAATAGTGGACAAAATCCACAAATGTGTGGCTCTGATTGTTCATATATAAATATATATGAAATTAAAATGATTTTTTTAAATAGTGGAATATACGATGGCCCTGTTTGTTACTTGGAGAAAAGTGATGAGGTTGTATTATCTCTTGTTGGAAAACATCATGGTTTAGCTTTGGTTCTTCTAAAAAAAAAAAATAAATAAAACATGTAAAAAAAGTTTGAATGTTGCTTCATCCAAACAGCATCATCTTTTCTTTTCCACAACCTTGGACTGTAACAAAACATTTATTAAACAGGAAGTGTCATCACTCAGTCACTGGGCACCATCACGAGTCGTTTCTTGTATTTGGTTTTAATTCATATTAATATAAGCTCTTTCCCACTAACAATAGTGTTGCATACAATCTTGAGCCAAGATGAAGTAGTGTAACGCTCTGAGTCAGCATTAGGAAGGAATAATAAAACATTTGGGAGAACCTTTGTCTCTTAAGGCAGGGAACTCTTCAAAGTCACTTTCAAGATGTCACCTGCAGTGTGACGGCAAGTGTTGTCAAGGCAAATACAGTAACATTCAGTTTTACGCACTGCTCTGATTAGACCTGGAAACCTACAATCACTCATCATTTTTACAGAAATGCATTGATGAGCTGTGCAAAAGTCTTAAGTCGTCTTTTTTTTCCTTTCAATTTTGTTTACAAAAATATGTGCTTTCTTGTAATTTTTGGCTTTCTGAAGGACTTTTCTGTCCTTTTTTAAAGGTTTCTTTTGTTTGCAAGCCTCTGACCCTTGAATCATCCAGATATAAAAAAGGCTTCTAAACTCAAAACAGTAACTTTTTTTAACCATCAGAATTTTGCCTTTTTTTTTTGTTGTTTCTTCAAAACGTGTTTTAGAACTTCTAGTTCATTTGTCATTTTTTTAAAGCACTACTAACTATTTTTGTCCATTTACTGGCCAAATGAGTAAAAATGCAGCCAAACTCTGAAAAACCTCTTCAAAAGATTACCAAAAAAAATGTATTGACATGACTCAAGACTTTTGCACAGTACTGTTCTCACACGGTTTGTGTGCCTCTAAAACCTGAAATTCAGCTTGCATATTGTTAGTATTATAAGGCTTAGGCAGTAACGATACAATCTTTACCAAACGCAGGATGAACATAAAGGAAATAACACTGTTTTATACAAAAGGCACTTTTTAAGCAGAACACGTTTAAGACATTTTGGCTTGGCTAGCTCAACRAAGAGAACAAGAAGTCCTTCCTCCAGGAATCAATCTGAATAACTTTCAGTAATAAACCTCAGCTGAAGGTGTTGGGAAGACTTGGCAGAACCCTATTAAAGAGTTTTCAAGAGTCCGTTGGGAACGTGCTGAAACGTCTTTGAGGCAGAACTGAGCAGCAGCAGCGTTTCCAGGCTGCCTTCCCTTTCTGAGTCCCGCCACACATCAGGATCCAGGTCAGGAAAATGAACAGGTTTTTGTCCACAAGAAGATCCAAGTGCTGGCAGGTTCTTATTAGTGAAAGCATGCCTCCACCAGTGTCAATGGGCCTCACCTCCACCTGCAGCTGCCCTCCAACCAACAGGCTCTCAGCTCCAGCAGAGCAGGAACAGGCCAAAAAATAAAGAATAAAACAGTCTTTGTGCTCCTGGAATGATGCCTGCTCTGTAGAAGTGGCTGTAAAAGAGCACCTCCATAAATAAATAAATTATTCAGCCAAAACAAAAGTCCTGTCCTCCCTTTGCAGTCCCTTTTTTTTTTTTTGGTTTTGCTTTGGTTGAGCTCTGCAGCCTCAGGGGTTGAGATGGACCACAGGGAGAAGTGTTACAAAGAGGGAGGGGAGCGTTTAGGTGACAGCTAAGTGTTTCAGGGTCTCTTCCAACCGCTCCGGATCAACGCGTCAGCTCGCAGGAAGGGCTGGTTTCGGAGATCTGTGAGTAGGCCGGGGCAGAGGGGTGGGACACAGGAGGAAACACACAGGTTAGACGTCCAACATGTCGATTATATCAAGTTACATCAACTCAGCTCCCGTTTTATTACTCCGACCCACTGAGCCCTCCTGTTTGCTGCATTATTAATTTAAGATTTAACAACCAATCAAGACATGGGAAATATGGGTGTGTAGGGTGCTGCAGCACCTCCTGATAGATGTCTGTATTCAGAACAAACATGTACTTCTGTGTATTTTACTGTATAGATTTATGTCAATCACACTTTTGTATTCTGGTCTTTTTTTGTACATTCATTTCCATTTTATGTCACTACTTCTGTGTACTTTGTGTTATTTTAAGATTTAACAACCAATCAAGACATGGGAAATA